TTCCCAGGCAAGATCTTTAAATGTGTCTTTAATTGGTTTTGAAGTGTGTAATGGTGCATTATCATGAAGCAAAATTACTTTGCCTTGTTTTCTGGAACATTCTGGTTGTTTCACGATAAAAGCATGGTTCAAATTGGTTATTTTTGTCGGTAGTGATCAGTATTAATGGTTTCACCTGGTTTTGGAAGTTCATAATACACCACATCTTCCTGATCCTACCAAATGCAGAGCATTGTCTTCTTTCCAAAGCAATTTGGCCTTGCCTTGCAATTGATGTTGGTGGTTGACCTGGATCAGTCCATGATTTTGTGAGTTTGGGATTCTCAAAATAAATCCACTTTTTATCGCCAGTCACAATTCAATGTAAAAAAGACTTTCTTTCGTGTGTTGAGGCAACATTTTACTGATGACTTTTCAGTTTTCCATTCAGTTGATGTGGCACCCATTTTCCTCCCTTTAAAATCTTTTCCATTGCTTGTAAAGGATCAGAAATTGTTTGCTGAGTAATGTTTAATTTTTCTGCAAATTGTTTTTGAGTTTGACACGCATCTTCATCCTATAATGCTTGTATGATAACTGTTGGTCTTCAAACCTTTTCATTTGACCTGGACGTTGTCTTTCACATCAAAATCATCAATTTCAAAGTGTTTAAACCAGCATTCACAAGTATGTTGAGATGAAATATGTTTATCATAAGCTTCCCAAAATATACAATAACTTTTTCTTCAAAATAAAGTAATGAATTAAAACTTCTCACAAATGCTCTTTTTTTTGGCATGAAATTTGACATTTATTAACACTTTCAGAAAATTGACATATAAAGTTTTGAAGCTTGTTGTCAATACAACAAAATAGCATATATATCAAATCACATATATAGCAACATATGTGTTACTCCATCTATTGAAAAAAATCTGCATTATTAACTGGTACACCTAGTAGTAAAATAAAATCCTTTATTTTACTTTATCTTGGCATTGTATCTGTGTCTCCAAATAAGATTATCCTTTCCTTTGATGTTCTTTAGTTCTTAAGAGTTCAAAGCTAAGGATTAAAGGAGAGATGAGGATGCGACTATGGACTAACATATCTTCTATTCTATTTGGCTGTAGGAATTTGCCTCTCTCCATTGGCATTTCTATGCCCATTGTCACCATCATCTACATCTTGACCAATGTGGCCTATTACACCGTGCTAGACATGAAGGACATCCTGGCCAGTGATGCTGTTGCTGTGGTAAATGATTTTCATTAGCAGAGAAGCTGAGGGTGTTTGTGGGCTTCTAGGTACAGTGCAGCTCTTGAAAGTCCCAGTAAAGAGACAGTCCTTGAAAGGATGCTGGGATACTGGGCTTGCAAGGAGGTACTATTACCTCTGTGGTGGAAGGGTTGGATTCCAAGTAGTGGGAATCTAGGGACATGCCTGTTTATGCCTCTCACCCCTAATGACTCTTTTCCTTAGACTTTCGCAGACCAGATTTTTGGAATATTCAACTGGACAATTCCACTAGCAGTTGCATTATCCTGCTTTGGTGGCCTCAATGCTTCCATTGTGGCTGCTTCTAGGTATGAGCGGTATCTTTTATTGGAAAGCATTTTGAAAACTATGGCAGGGGGTATGACTTACAGGATCCAGACTTTAGTCACTGTGCTCCCCAAATGACGTTCACAACCTCTTTGCTCTTATTTCCATCAGTAGCCTCCAGTACTTACGAATCTCTACATTGAACTCCATTCCATATTATCTACCCTTTTGGAGGTGATTGCAGAGTGAGGGCCCTTTAGTTCAGGAACCAGGCCACACTCAATATCCCATGTTTCTCAGTCTCTCCTATCTTACCTAAAATAGGCTTTTCTTTGTGGGCTCACGAGAAGGCCATCTCCCTGATGCTATCTGCATGATTCATGTCCATCGGTTCACCCCAGTGCCTGCGCTACTTTTCAATGTAAGTGATCCCAAGGATGAGGCTGAAAGCCAGAGTGGGGGAAACTTTAGTAACAGTAGAGGCAACTGTCCTAACTTCCTAAATACTCTAAAGGAGAATCTAACAGAAAAAAATACTAATGGAACATAGTGTGGGCAAGACACACTGCTAACTGCTGCGGTGGTTCCTAAGAGAGAATCTATCTTCTCTAAGGAATGATAACCTCCTTTGGTTTAGGATAAGGCATAAAGCACATGAGATTATTTGTAATGATTGCCATGATAGTCAGTGATGTAGTGTTTAGGGAAGAAACAAGTCACGTCCACGGGGGAAAAGGGTAAATGAAGAGACTTCTTTGATTAAGTGCATTTGAAGTAGATTTTTAAGGTTAGGGTTGCAAATGGTAGTAGAGATGGGCTTTAGGTTAAAAGAAACAGCATCAGAAAGTTCTGAGGTAAAGCACTGTGAAGTTGGGTAGTGGATGATAAGCTGGAAAAATACGTTGGAACCATTATAGGGAGGCTTTTAAGCAAAAGATTAAAAAAAATTAAAAATATGTATTTTTATTGATTTCAGAGAGGAGATAGAAAGATCAATGAGAGAGAATCGATTGGCTGCCTCATGCACACTTGACACTGATGCTCAACCACTGAGCCACACCAGACAGGCTAAGCAAGATTTTTGAGGAATCGTTTTTGAGCTATACTTATAGAAATGAGGTATTGAAACTCAGGAGATGCTAGAGCAGAAAAGGACAGATGGGGAGACTCTGAAGATTTGACAAGAGAGGGACTCAGTAAAGGGGAGTGAAAAATACCTTGAACAAAGGCCCTGAGGAGCTGATTGTACTTACAGGGACTCATGGCATTGATCTATCTATGCGTGGAGGACATCTTCAAGCTCATTAACTACTATAGCTTCAGCTACTGGTTCTTTGTGGGGCTCTCAATTGTGGGTCAGCTTTATCTGCGCTGGAAGGAGCCTGATCGACCTCGCTCCCTTAAGGTAAGTCACCTCCATCCCACCTCTGCTCCACCTGCCCTGGGGATTCTTACAAGATGGTTTGTTTAGAAACCTTTGCCCTGGACTTGCTGGTGTCAGGGTGTTGAGATGAAGGGAATGGAAAGGCAGCTCAGTGCTCTGATCTGCACAGAGGTGGGGTTACTTTAGCTTGTCAATCCTGAGCTAACTTCCAGTTGTTTCTTCTGTGCCCTCAGCTCAGCCTTTTCTTCCCCATTGTCTTCTGCTGCTGTACCATCTTCCTGGTGGTCATTCCACTTTACAGCGACACCATCAACTCCCTCATTGGCATTGGCATTGCCCTCTCGGGCTTGCCCTTTTACTTCTTCATTATCAGAGTGCCAGAACAAAAACGACCTCATTGCCTCCGAAGGATTGTGGGTAAGATCTGGATACTCAGGTTAGCTTGGCTAATGTACTTTTTTTTTGCCCCTTCTGAAAATCCTGTTCCAAGTCACCTTGGCCATAGCCCCTTCTTATCGTTAACCGCAAGGCTTATCGTCTCCTCAGGCCCAATTCAGTGCCACTGAACTCAGACCAGTTGACCTCAGAATTCTGAGTTTTGATTCACTTCTCTTTGTAGCATCTACTACAAGGTACCTCCAGATCCTATGTATGTCAGTAGCTGCAGAGATGGATTTGGAAGATGGAGAGATGCCCAAGTCTAAGTAAATAACACCTGGAATCCTGAGATATGAAAAGCAGAACCTCATCTTCTACTGGTTGGAGCCAAGGAAGTTGAAAAGGAAAGCTTACTTCTTTGGAGGCACCTGTCCAGAAGCCTGGTCTAGGCAGCTTCAACCACCTTTGAACTTGCTTTTTTTGAGATAGACAGTAATTTATTTGTTTTGCTACATATTGTTCCAATTTTTAAAAAGGGATAATAAAGCAGACTGTGGTGGGAGCATGTCAGGTGTGGGCTTGGTTATTCTAATAGCACATTCCCATGTGTTAAGATATTCACTCACCTCTGGGTGTGCCTTACACCTCTTTTCCTTTAAAAGGGCCAATAATGCTCCAAACTTCCTGTCTCTTTTAGAGACATGAGAATGTGTGGGTGCTGGACAATAAAAGGGTTATGTTCCTAAACTCTGAGTGGCTTCATTTTACATAGTGTCTCTGGGGCAGTTCCTATTAGTCTGGCAGGAAAACAAACAAACAAACAAACAAACCCCACACAATCTAATACTTGAAAGTACCTGAGTATTTCTTCCCTCTCAAGCCTATTGCTGAAGGTTGATAAAACCAATCTCTACCTCTAAACTGCTGTAGGTTAAGGTTAGATAAAAATGACATCAACTTCCATTTTTTTTTTTTTAATTTATGTCATTGATTTTTTACAGAGAGGATGGGAAAGGGAGTTATAAGCATCATGAGAGCAAAAAATCAATCAGCTGCCTCCTGCACACCCTCTATTGGGATGTGCCTGCAACCAAGGTACATGCCCTTGATTGGAATTGAACCTGGGACCCTTTAATGTGCAGGCTGATGCTCTAGACACTGAGCCAAAACCAGTTAGGGCTCAACTTCCACCAATTCTTAATTTCCACCAAGAATTTGAGCCCAGCTGGCATGGCTTAGTGGTTGAGAGTCAACCTACTGATCAGGAGGTCACAGTTTGATTCCAGTCAGGGCACATACCCAGGTTGCGGGCTCAATCCCCAGTGGATATGAGGAGGCAGCCGATCAATGATTCTCTCTTATAATTGATGTTTCTATCTCTCTCCCTTCCTCTCTAAAATAAATAAAAATGTATTAAAAAAAAAGAATTTGAGCACATCAACCTCTTGAAGGATGTCTTATAGGTAACCTTGGGATAAATAAATGTGGTTATTCTATTTAAATATAATCTCAACTTAGCAGGCATATCTCTGCAATGCAAATGTGGCTGGAACAACACATTTATGGGGTCGGTATCTAAGCTCTAACACCAGGTTACTTCACTGAGACACTTCCTAAGAGCACGGGCCAGCAAGAGCAATCACCATCAATCTGTTCTTTAGTTTTCTGAAGCACACAATCCAACTCCCCACTTAATAAGTACCAGGAAGCAACATATAATACAGAGGTTTACTAATTTTGTAGATGGAAAGATCACTTGGCTCCCCAGTGCTCTTTTATACTTATAATAGATGTAAGAGTTTATAGTGGAATCCACTTTTAAAACAAACATCTCCATGTCCCATAGTTTCTAGGTCTGAGGCAAGGACCCAGCAAAAATCTTGTTCTAAGGCTGAGTCTTGGGAGAAGACGACTTAATGTCAGTATGAGCAGGGAAAAAATTCAGCCGAGTGTGTCACGCCAGGGTTTCTTTGACTTTGGTTTGTTGCAGCTGCTGTTAGGGGTGGTGGAAGGGGGATTTTCCCCACGCTGTAGCAGAGGGTTGTGGGTAAAGGTCTGTCGTAAGGGACCTAGGGGAAGAAGAGAAGGTTAATGAACAACGGAAAGGGAGAAACAATGACAGAATTTAGCCTGAAAGGGTTATTTACCCCTGGCTGCAAGTTCCAAGTGATTCTGCATGCGCCGTTCACGCTCTTGTAGCTGATGGTTGATTTCAGCATTCTTCCAGCCTATATAGAATAAGACAGTTGGGTCTCATACCTACTTTTAGGCTACTTTCCCCTGGTCATGATTCAGAGGACAGGCCCTTACCGCGTTTGAAGCTCTTTATGAAGCCTTCCCGTGGAGGTAATTTGTCGGCGTCATGCACAACACGCTGGGGGATTTTAAGAATAGTGCGTACAGCTGGAATACGGAGGCAAGACACCTGGACCAGGGAAAACATATTCGAGGAGAACCAATACACGAACACTGCCTAGATGGGAAGGAAAAGAAGGCTCTTAGAAGCTGCATCCCTGATCAGCCTGCTGGGAGGTGACTAGGCCAGGTGAAAGGACTTGAAGCTAGCCCCTACGTCGTTACCTACCGTGGGGAAATGGATAGTTATGGGCAAGACTGCCAGGGGTATCAATCTCATAACATTTCTCATCCAGTGAAGCTCAGAACTTTGCACACCAGTCTCAGCACCTAACTGGGGGGGGAAAAAAATCAGAGGAAGAGTAGCAATTTTAGGGACTATGGCTCAAATTTCTTATGCATCAAAACTCCTCCTCCAGGGAGTGAAGGAGGACTATTCTGTACAACTACATTACTCCTAATCCCAGCTCACTTTGCAGGCCTGGCACTTGGCCAACCTGGGCTTACCTCAAGGACACCCCACATTGTAGCAGTGACCACCATCGGTAATATGTAGGTGGGGTCAGACAGTGTGAGGTCCTGGAACCACCAGAGGCCGCCTGTCTGCAGGCTGGGCACAGGAAGGTTGGCCATTTCTCTCAAGGAAATGAAGAAGGAGATGAAGATTGGTGCCTAGTACACAGGACAAACAGTGTCAGTATCTTTTATCAGAGGGAATATTTTCATTATCCCATTCCTGAAAACCACCTGTTTTTGGACATCTAGGGCATGGGAAATAGGAGGTAATCTGATTGGTTCAGGATAAAAGGAAAATATTTTTACTTACCTGAGTCAGAGGTAGAATGAGAGGTTTAAAGAGTTTAATGTCATGCTTTTTCTGATACAGTGTCATCTCCGAGGAGGCCCTGTAAACTGTGAAGTGAGGAGAAGTTAGTGGTTGGACAGATAGTTACATTGATGGAAGTGACCGTCCTCATTACCCGGCCCATCGCATTTCTAACTGACCCATCAGACTGGAACCATTAGGCCCAAGAAGTAGGTAAAACTTTAAGACCTGTCTAGAGGTAGCAACTCCTGACTTAGGTTGTTTCTTTCCCTCTGTAGAAGTCAGGAAGAGTGTAAATGTGGTCCCACGCTCATCCTGCAATTGACTCACACTCAGCATGGTCTCCTGCCAACTTGGCCTCTCTGATTCGCATGGAAAACTTCTGGATCTCTGGCATGTGGTTGTGGATCTTGGCTGCCTCTCGTTGGCCCTTCACAATGAGAGGAAACACCAGGCAGCGGGCAATGACTGTACCTACAAAATACACACGAGGATTGGAGTGAAATTAAAGCAGTTCTGCAGCTAGAAGGTTGAAGATTTCTAGATTCTCACTGAAAGGCTCTCTTATTCTAGTCTTTCCACATTGTGACTCATACCCAAGGAGCATAAAACAAAGGGTAGGGATATGAGTTAGTTTCTTCAAGGCTCAGTTCTCTGCTTTGACATTACAAAAGTCTAGCATTAACTTCTCTAAACAAATGATCATGAATCTAGTTTGTTTCCTTCAACAAAAGGCGACAGTAGGTACTTTTCTAGACCAATGGTTTCTAAACTTTTCTATCAATGGAACATCATCTCTCTGCCCCCAACTCTTAGTCCCAATATGTGTGACAGATAAAACCTAGCTCTCCTAGGTGAGGGGATAGTCTGGTTGTAGGACTGTTTTAGTTCTCGACTTGCTTTGCTCAGAGGTACCTTTACAGAACTCTGGGGTTCTCACAAATGAAGTTTAAAAGCTGCTGCCCTAGAAACCTCTGGAGCAGGAGGTATAATATTATGGTAGCCTGCTGCTTAAGCTCCTTTTTATTTCTTACCCTGCTTGAGCCCTATTTCTTTTTTTACACTTTATATTTCCCAATTATGCCAACAGATGTTTATTTAATTTATGGTATCTATAGATTAAAAAGTGGGTTCTGGCTAAAAAGAGATGGGGGTTGGGGAGAGACTTAAGTTTAGACTTTACCAACATGATGCTGATGTGCTGTGGAAAGAGGGGAGCTAAGGATGGAATGCAGAACACCAGCACTGGAAATGGTAAGTTGTGGTCAGAAAGACAGAAGAAAATCAGAAAAGACTGTCACAAAAGCCAAGGAATATATTCCCAAGTCTAGTATCTAACACAGAAAGGCCAACTAAAAATAGCAAAGTGGATTTAGCAATGATATAACTGGCAGTTAAAATGAAGCAGTATTAGTAAAAGCCAGATTGCTGAGGGTCAAAGAGTAGAAAGAAATAAGCCTACTATGATACAGAATATAATTTTAAATAACAGCTATGAAAAGGAGAAAGACAGCAGAGAAGACAAAGGTAAACTAAAGATAAAGGGAAAATATTTCCTTCCAAGAAACACATGGTATGCTTGAGCATGTTTGTATGTTCAGAGTAGGGCAGTAAAAAGGAGATGAAGACTCAGGGAGATGATTACTGGAATAACATGTAGGAGGATACAGAATCTGAAGCAGTTTTAGCCTGCAATGTGTTTTCCCAATTTTGGGGTTTAACTGCTTGACCAAACCTGCTCTCCTAAACCAGGGCAGCTTCATCACTGTTAACAAGATCCTCTTGCTCTAACCTCATGCTCACACTCAAATATCTACATTTCTTGAATTACAGATGCTCTAGTGCAGTGGTCTGCAAACTCATTAGTCAACAGAGCCAAATATCAACAGTATGGCTGAAATTTCTTTTGAGACCCAAATTTTTAAAACTCAAATTTCTTCTAATGCCACTTCTTCAAAATAGACTTGCCCATGCCATGGTATTTTGTGGAAGAGCCACACTAAAGGGGCCAAAGAGCCACATGTAGCTCAAGAGCTGCAGTTTGCTGACCATGGTTTTATAATGCCCTTTGGGAAATATAGGTATAGTATATCTAGTATCATGAGCCTTTCCCCCTCATTTGAATCTGTTTTTTCTGACCCCTAAACTTCTGCACTATTTCCTTGACCCCCTCACAGAACTGCTATTCTTTAAAGTTCTCTCCCTAAGTCCCCATTTCCTCCAGGATCCCTTTCCAGGATGCAATCCTCTTACACACAGCAATGGCTCCCCACCAAGGTAGGCCAAGGTCAACGTGTATATATTCCAGTAGGTTTTGGATCAGTCCCACTGGGGTATATGACCCCAGCCCAAGTTCAGCGAAGCTCTGTTCTGCAGCAGCTTGGACTACATCTGCAGTCTCTCCAGAAGCAGCCTCAGTCACTGCTGTGGGTGAGGGAGTTGCAGGAATGACGGGAGGGGCCTGAACCTGTGCAAAAGGAAGCCATGTGTAATATTCAGTAGGTGGGACACAGACATTGAGGGTTCCCTTATAACCAGTACTAGGTTGTTCTCTTGACTCTACTTCTCGTTCTCCCAGATTAGCCTAAATGTCCACAGAACTCAGCTCTTAAAAAGAACATTTTATTTTCCCCCCAAAGTAGGAAAATAACTTACTATATTATACTAATATTTTATGAAAGTTATTTCTTGCATTAGTATTTTCCAAATTTCATTCGAGTATCACTGTTATGATTTTGTACATACTCAAACTATTGTACTCATAATTTCCCTTTAAAAGTTTTTAAGACCCAAATATCTAAAAAAAAAAAAAAAAAAAGAAAGAAAAAAAAAGAGAAAGATGATCAAAATATCTACTTGGTCTCATCCTCAAAAATATCAATATCCATGAAATCATGTAAATGCTATGCAAGTTTCAATTTTTTTCATATACACACCTAGAAACACATTTCATATCGCCATCAGTGGCTTGGCACTGGGAAACAAGGGCATGCATAGAATGAATGTAAATCTCTCTTGCTGTACTCTCAAATCCTTCCCCCAGCGGATGTGAAAATATCCCAGGCAGAGATGCTACCATTCTGGGAGCTGTGTGCAGCGTGGAAAGAACTCGCCTGCACATTCCACTTCCCTCTAGTCAAAGCAAAATAAAAACAAAAAACCGACCAAGGGGCACCACTCCTAACACTGCAGGGCTGCAAACGCGTCTTACCTGGGCTTCTGCAAATGCGATGGCAGAGACGCTGAGGCCACGCGGGCTGGGGGCCGCCAGGAGGGCATAGTGGGGGCGCCCGCCGCACCGGCCGGCTGGGAACGCGAACCCTGCAGCCAGCGGCTTCCGGGGCCACTGTGAGGGCCCCGCGACGCTGTGGAACTGCGCGCGGAAAGGGAGGGGGAGCACTTTTATTGGAAGCACAAGTCCCTCAATTTGTGCAACCCCCCCCCAAGAAGCAGGCAGCCCGCTCCCACAGGTGGGCAGTAACTCCGCAAGTCCTGCACCTCCCCTGCCGCAGGCCCACCACCCCGAGGTTCCCTCGACTGGGGGAGGCCTGTTCCCGGGTTCAGACCACCACACAGGGTCGCCTAGCCCCTGGGGTAATAGAAGGTAACCTTTCTGCGACCTCAGGGGACCCGAGGTCAGGGGACACAGGCTGGCGAGCAGCTCAGCGTTGCTCATGACCCGGCAAGAGCGCCCCCGGCTCGGGTCGCAGGGACAGGGCGGCACCCCGCTGTTCAGCCCTGGCGCCTCCTTACTTGCCGCTGGGACCATAGCAGGCGGAGGAGCTCCCGGCGCCCGCACTGCAACACCCCCGCCATCTTGACGGGAAGAGGACTTCCGTTCGCACCTGCGCACTGGGAACTGCAGCCTCGCGGGCCGACGCCCTTTTGGAAGTGGGCGGAAGTTGGAGCTGCGGCCTCGGCCTCGGCGGTGACGGAGTCTGGCGGCCATGTTTGAAGTGGGCAAGGAGGCGCCAAGGGCCTCGTTCCAGGAGAATGGAGTTAAGAGCTACATAGGTGGATGAGGAGTTTCCTCCATCTCTAAATCCTTGATTCTCCTGCGACGTGTTGAACTAAAAAATAGCCTCCGGACAGCCTTGGCTGTGACGGGTGTGGATTTTTTTTTTCTTGCCCAGTGATGTTCGATTCTTATTCCTAGATAATATTGGAGTAGCAGATCCAGGGAAAATTGAGTGTACTCTGGCGTCTGACAGAAATTGAAGGAAGGCAGCTTCTAGGAAAAAAATTACCTCTCAGATAAAAAAAAACCCAAAAAACCCACAGAGTTTTAAGAGGAGACTCCATCTTTACCCTCTTGCTTCCTTAGTGGGGTTGTGAGAGGAGCATTTTGTGACTGAAGGGACAAGTTGAAGATGAGAAGCTAACATGAAGATGGCTGTGTGGAAAGATGGAAAACCTCTGAATACTTGATGATGTCATTGAGCTGCTGCACCAACCTTGTAGCCACCCATCCCTAGACTTTGTTGTGTAAGATAATTAAAGTCTTTACTGTCCAGATTCTAAGTCTCTGTTGCTTAGGTGTTTTGTTTCTCAAAGCAAATAACATTTCTTAAAGATATATGAGGTGAAATTCCTTCCCTCCAAATAAAAAATAGTAACAGCTCAGAAAGGCGAAAGTTGATTATATTGGAACCCCCTAATAAGTCAACTACAAATGCTTTTTGAATGACAAAGCATAGCTTGAAAAAGATACAATAGCTTGAAGTTATTTCAATCACTGCTTTTGGGGGATTGTTATGAATATACCTGACAAATGGTAATAATAAGAGGCAAAGAAATAGAATATATAGATTTAGTAGTAATTAGGAGTATGACTGATTAATCACATATGTTGGATACTATAAGCAAGCTTTTATTATTATTTTTGTTGTTGTTGTTACTTGAAAGAATCAATACAGTTGCCCTAGCAGGTTTGACTCAGTGGATAGAGCATCTGTCTGTGGACTGAACAGTGGGTTCCAGGTTCAATTCCAGTTAAGAACACATGCCCAGTTTTGGGCTCGATCCCCAGTAGGGGCTGAGCAGCCAATTAACGATTCTCTCTCATCATTGATGTTTCTCTCTCTCCATCTCCCTTCCTCTCTGAAATAAATTTAAAAAATATATTATACATAAAAGAATCAATACAGTTAGAACTGATGACAAAAACACAGCTCAGGGCACTTGGGGGGAAATAAAACTATCCTGTGGTAGACAGTTACTTTGGTGGCCCCCTGGACCTTGTCCAGCACTGTCAGGTTCAGTGAGCCTGATTAAAGAAGACAGACAAAGAGAATACAGCTGGGGCTGGGGGGAATCTCCTGAACCTGGATGAGGACTCAGAGAGACCCAGCCTGCAAGCTAAAGCCATATTTTATAGTCAGAGCATACAAAGAAAAACAAGGGAAGTGGTCAACCTGTTTACAATGTCCCGTGAGTTTCACTTTGTTTTGGCAGCACTAGCTGCACCTCCCACAGCCCATTAGCTACCTAGAAAGGAACTAGTGAGAACTATAAGGCTCTGCTCCCCAGCTGGGACTTGTTTGTAGCCCTGCCATAGGTCAGTCCGAGGCTTGAACCTAGAGCTGCTCCCTACAGTCTCCAATAAACCATATCTACCATTATTTGCACACTTGTACAGTCTTGTACAGCTACTATAGAAAGTAGTACAACTGAAACTTATACTGTGCTATATATAAATTTGTATAGATGCAGATGTGAATACAACTAACTCCATCTCAGTGTCCTGGATTTATTTCATGCTGTGACCTTTGGCCAACTTCACTGGCTTTAGCAAGCATATCAAAGCCTTCTAGTTGATGATTATCTGTGTTCCAAAAAATGTAGCAATAAAACTTTTTTTTAGTAATGTCTGGCATGGCATGACAATTAGATAAGTATTAAACTGATATATTGATGATAAATAATCACTTATCACAAGACCACCAACAGATATGGCACCTAGCCAGTACTACATTCTTTGTCCCATTGACTTGTCAATAATTTGTACCTCAGCCTGGCCAGTGTTGCTCAATGATTAAGCATTGATCCATGAACCAGGAGGTCATGTCATGGTTCGATTCCCAGTCAGGGTACGTGCCCGGGTTGCAAGCTCAATCCCCAGTAGGGGTGTGAAGGAGGCAGTTGATTAATGATTCAGCACCCTTCTCTCATCATTGGTGTTTCTATTTCTTTCTCTCTGAAATCAATAAAAAATATTTTTAAAAGTACTGTAACAGAGGAGCTGGGTGAAAAAAGTGAAAGTATTAAGCAAAGAAAAAACCTCATAGACACAAACAATAGTATGGTGATTACCAGAGGGAAAGGGGCTTAGGGGTGGGGCAACTAAAAGAGGGAAAGGGGATGATACATGGTGATGAAGGAGACTTGACTTGGGTTGGTGAACAACAATACAATATACAGATGATGTAAAATTGGACATCTGAAATCTATAAAATTTTATTAACCAATGACACCCCAATAAATTGAATAAAAACTTCAAAAAATATTGTAACAATATTTTTCAAGTGACAGATTATGAGATAGCTGCAGATTTACTCAAGGTAGTTCCTGAAATGATGGAGCTATTAAAGAAAAAAATGAGTCATAATCATCATGTCTTCCTTCAGAAGAAAAATTATGAGAGTATTCCTCAGAAATCATAGATATTCATGGCTATTATAACAATCATTGGAAAGCTGCATTTCATAATCTGAGAAAAAATTCTAACAGATGCCAGAATGCTTTTTTTCTATTTTTTATTTTTTATTTTATGGGGCTGTTATGTTTCTTTTTAACAGTGGTGCCAAACAATTATTTTTGAAGTTTTCTAATTCTGTAACAAAATATAATACAGTCTTTCCATAGTTTTAAAACAAAACAAAAAAATAAATAAAAAAGTATTGTATCAGGTGTCTGTTAGCAGAGGCTAATTTATACAGAATTGCTGGGTCATCTGTCCACCCTCACCTACAACTCTGTAAGTAAATTAACCTTTAATACATTCTGTTTTATTCTGTGGAGTTGTGTGTATTGTTCTTCCCTCTGATAATACCTTCTTATTATGGTGGCCATTACACTTTTGCCCTACCACTGGGCACAGTTATACCTCAACACTGGAAAAAATTTTCAGTATGTGCACCCACGCCTGTGCACACACACGTTGTCACAATGTGAGGTAGGTGATGGCTCTGTTAAGTAATCTTATTGTAGTAATTATTTTTTAAAGGGTGGGTCAAAAGTAGGTTTATAATAATTAATAATGCAATAATAAATTTTTGCATACTCACAACTGTAAATCTATTTCCCCCCAACCTGTATATAAAAATATTATATTGTATAACTCGAACTTATTAATTATATATGCCAATTATATCTCAATAAAGTTTTGAGAAAAGCTTTGAGGAATATACGAAAAAATTCTATTAGAACTAATATGTAAATTTAGCAGGATGTATGATACAAGGTCAATATACAAAAATCAACTGCATTTCTAAACACTAAAAATGAACAATGTGAAAATTAATAAAACCATTTACAAGAGCATCAAAAACAAGAAAAATTTAATAGCAAATTTGACAAAATATATGTGAAACTTATACACTGAAAGTTATAAGACATTACTGATAAAATATGTAGAAGGCCTAATTAAATGGAGAGATACACTATGCTCATAGATTGTAAAAATCAGTATTGTTCAGATGCTAATTCTTCTAAAAATGATTTACAGCAGGTTCAATAAAAATTTAATAGAAATTGATAAGTAATTAATACATATATATGAAAAATGTAAAACACTTAGACAAAATGTTTTTGAAAAAGAACAAAGTTGGAGAATTTACAATATCTGATTTCAAAGTTTACTATAAAGTATCAATAATCAAGACAGTGTGGAACTGGCATAAGAATAGACATTTGAATAAAAGGAACAGAATAGTTTCCAGAAATAAATCCACACATAAAATCAATTTATTTTAATAAAAGTGCTAGGGGACCTCTGGTTGTGTGGCTTAGTTGGTTGGAGCATAGTCCTGGTTTTGGGTTCACTGTCAGTCAGGGCACATTCCTAGGTTACTTACAGCTTCTATCACCGGTCAGGGTATATATAAGAGGCAACCAATTAATGTTTCTCTCCCTCTTTCTCTAAAAATCAATAAAAACATTCTCGGGTGGAGATTTTTTTTTTTTTTTAAGTGCCAATGGAGTTTAAAGGGAAAAAGGAAAGTTTTTCCAACAAAGGTTCTGGAATAACTGGATATTCCTATAAAAAAATTCAGACCCCAACTGTTAGCTTGTACTACATCTATAATAATAAAAACATAATAGATATGCTAATTAGACCAGATGGCCGAACAGCAGAATGACCTGGACCACCTTTCGGACAAAGCCAGGGCTGAGAGGGCTGAGCAGCTGCTGCAGCTGCATGGGCCGTGCCCCTTGCACGAATTTTGTGCATCGGGTCCCTTATTACATATAAAAGTTAACTTGGACTGGATCATAGTCTGGAACTTAAAGCTACAACTATAATTTTCCTAGAAGAAAGCACCAAAGAAAACCATGGGAATAGGCAAAAAATTCCTAGATAGGACACAAAATATCAATAGTCATAAAAGAAAAATTTGATAAATAGGACTTCATCAAAATGGAAAACCCTCTGCTCTATGTAAGACACTATTAGAAAAATTAAAAGGCAAAACACATACTGGGAAAAAAATCACAATATATGTATTTGACAAATGATTTGTATCTACACTATGTAAATGTTTTCTTACAACTTAATTAAAAGCAGAGCCATCCAACAAAAAGGTAAATGTATTAATAAGACATTTCACAAAAGTAGATATCAGAAGAAATAGTTACATGATAGTCACTCAGTATCATTAGTCATCAAAGAAAT